GGATAAAGGATTTTTAATTTTTACTGAATTTAAAATGTTTAGTCATTCTCATTTGAATTCTGAAGCAATAAACTGTTTAGTTTTCATCTTTGTTTTCTTAATTTCAATTTTTAAATTTAAAAATGCCACCTAGTGCTGAGGATGTTGCACATAATGTGGCACTTATTGATTATGGATGTTCCATCAGGTATCAGCTATTGCCGTCGGAGTTCCCTACGAAACACTGCGAGATGTTTTCGAGAAAATGGGTCCCTACCACAGAAGGTCTGGTTCTGGACGCCCTAGGGTAACAGAACGACATGATGACCGTTTTTTGACTTTGTGAATTTTGCACCGGCTCACTGTAGTTCAAGCGATTCATCAGCTCCAGGAAGTTCGAGGTGTCCAAATTAATGAAGGCACTGTTCGAAGAGGATTAAATCAATATAGGCTGATGGCTTTTTGCCCCGTAAGAGGATCAGAATTGACCAGAAAACACAGAGTTGCACGGCTCGCATTGGTTGGTTGTTGTTCATGGTCTTTGAAGGCCACTTTCTATGTGGATGAAATTTTGGAACATCAATCGTTGCCTATCCTTGATGAAATCATCGATAATCCTATTTTAATGCACGATAATGCCCGTCACATGTCGTTCGCATAGTACAAACGTACCTTCAACAGCATAAGATCAGGGTCTTAGACTGGCCAGCCCGTTCTCCAGACTTGAACCCATCGAACATTTATGGGATAACCTCAAAGCGAATAAGAGCACCATCACTTTCTGATACACTCCACGATCTTGAAAGGACTCTTTGTGAAGAATGGGCTAACCTCCAGCAAAGAGACATTTCCAGAATGGTGGAAAATACGCCGAGGCGTCTTCGAAATGCAATTAAGGCAAGAGGAGGAAATACGCGATATTGAAATGTTAATTAAAAATCGAATAAACCAATTTTATCTGTCCGTATTTTTTTCCCCCTTAGCAATATATATTTTTATTTTTACTTTTTAAGGCAAAGACTCAATTATTAAACGTTAAAAAACGTGAAACTTTGATTAATATATAAAAATATATACCAATCAAGTTATATTACTAGTGTGTGGAATTTTTTTACCTGTCAATGTATACGGATCTCAAGTTTTAAAACCACTGTAGAAATACTTATTGACTTTTTCTAGAAGATGTTGGCTTAGTGAATAATTGTACAGTGAAAAATTAACAGAGCGTGAAGGAATTCTTTCAGTACTGTTAGTAATCTCAGAAATTAACAGCTTCACCATAGCGCCAATGTTTAGCGATTGCGGGAAAAGCCCATACTCGAGAATAAAAAACGGAAAGGTGGCAATGAATGACAAAATGAAAGGGAATGTGGACTGATGGAATAAGTGGAAATCTGGTGACCAACTATGGGAAAGGGCCTTCACACGTTCGTTTCATTAAGGCTTAAGGCCAGAAGTCCATTATCATAAACCTGGCCTTTATTGGATTTTAGCCGTATCCCAACCCAACAAGATAAAGAAAAAAATATGTGGAATTAAGAAAAAGTGTGTTGATTAAAATAATTATGGAGGGATATATAGAGGGGTGAAAAGGGGTTAACCATACTTAGTTTACTACATACTCTCAGGTTGTAGATTCAATGCAGCACATATTTTTTTCTTAAAAGAACGTCTTTACAACCCTAGAAACTTAAACAAAATAACAAGAAAAATTGGGAAAAATTAAACCGTACTGTGGAAGAATTGATGAAAATTGTTGATGAAAATTGAAAACGCATTATTTAAATGGCCTATACGTAGATAATAAAAAAATTAAGATAAATCATAACTTGATAAACTTGTAATTGAAAAAGGACATGTGCCCATAATCTGGTACCCCTTCGGTCCTGCATCATAAGCGCAGTTTCACCAAGTATTGAAAAGCTGTACCCAAAATGTAGTCTAGAAAATTATTTGAGAAATATTTTTAATATAAGGAGGTAGTGGATAATAGCGACAAGTAAATGATTAAAATGTAAACACAGGTTAAATAAACGAACAAAAAATATTAAGGCTGAAAATATAGAACAAAGTGTAACCTCTGTGAATAAAACAAGTTAAAATGAATAAAACCAAACCAAAATAAACGGAATGAAAAAAGAAAGAAATATTAAAATGAAATAAATGAAAAACTTGAAAAATATGGACACTAACTGCACTATTTGATATAATAAGATTGGACGAATTTACATGAATTTGCCATTCTTTATATTAATCTGAATACAATTATTTTCACATCATTTTGAATAAATGAGAAGGAAGTTCAGAATCAATTGAAATAAAGAATTACTTTGAAAAAAAATTCCTTTTAAATAAATTATCTTGGCGTCTATCCGCCGCTAGAATTTCCCTATGATTCAGGCAAGAGGAAACATGTCAAAGCGCAAATCGTCTCTTTGATTATGTTGCTCAATCTATTAAGTACTTTACAAAATGATAAATGCTGAAATGTTTGTTTACTCTTTACATACACAGGACCATTAAGACTTTCTTTTAACTACTTTCATTACATTTGTATATTTAATGTATAAAACATTCATATAATCGTAGTTCTTCTATGGTGAATTAAGATTTCATTAAATATGTAGTTGTAATGTTAATTATGATTTTTAATTTGGCATTTGTAATTCACTTTTTATATTGATATCATATTCACGTTTTTATTGTGTTATTCGCAAAATTCAGAATCAATTTGTATGTTGTAACATTAACTATTATAAACTACGTCATAAATAATAAAATATATAAGGGAAAACAAATGTAAGGAAGGTCGAACAGAAGAAAATTGTTTCACTGCCGAGCATTCCACATTCAACTCATTAGGGATTCGCAAACTTTAAGTTTTAATGAAATATTAAATACACAGAACAAATTTCTTGAAAAATGTAAAAATTAATTAATTACATAAAAACCTTCTTGAACAATATATAAATAAGTCATTATATTATACAATATAACAATAATAAGGGGCGTTGGTGGCCTCAACGGTTTGGGGTTGACACGGCGCTCATCACTGTAAGGAAAAGGTCCCGGGTTCGAATCCAGCGGCCCTGCATTCGAATTTCGAACCCGACAATACCGATACCTACAATAAAACATACTTAAACTTACATATACATAACTTACTTACATACACATACTTAAAAAAAATTAAGAGGAAAATTTAATTTTTTCTGTATTTTTAAAATTCAAAAATTTTCATTACGTACTTTTTTAAAAAAATATTGCGATAAGGATGTTTTTCATTAGGTAATTCCTTTTTTTAATAATTCGAAACAGATAAATATTGTCATCTCACCTTTTTATGAGAGAGATTTCCTTTCGGATTGTTGTTAAATGTTTGTTTTTCTCCTGATTTTATAAAAATTATTCAGCTTTTTTGGTTGTGGCTTTTTTAAAATCATTTTTATAACTACTTAATACATTATTTAAAGTTAACCAAAATTTCATATACAATTCTCCCAAAAAATTTGTTCCACTTTTTTATTTCTTTTTTTTCAAAACCAAGCTAAACATTGGCAGCTCACCCTCGTTCTGGGGATTGTTTCCAAGTTCATTTTGTTATCTGTTCAAAATCTATTCAGAGTTCTAACTAGTGTTTTTATTTTACAATTGTGTATAATTTACTATTCGAGAAATTATGACTAATTTGATCTGAAAATTAAAAAGATAATCGTTTTATTATTTAAATAGAGCCATTCTCTTGTTTTCTCTCCAGAATTTTTCAAAACCGTTTTTTTGTTCGATATTTTTTATTGACATATAATAATTTATGGTTATTCGAACCCGGTGTTTTTGCAAAAAAATTCCTTTTATCAGTATGTCGTATTCGAATGCATGGCCGCTGGATTCGAACCCGGGGCTTTTACCTTACAGTGATGAGGACCGTATGAATGCCTAAATCTTTGCGGCCACTGACGCCCTCAAATAAATTATCATTAATTATTATTAATATCAAATAATATAAAGTATTAGTGTAAAAACTAGTTTCTAACTGGCCATTGATGGAAAAAACATAGTTTTTCAATAAAAATTTACATATCGGTAGGTGTCCTAAATTATATTATATATATATATATATATATCTTCTATTTGATTTAAACTTGTCAACTTGTCTTCAAAATTTGCAGTTCGTCAGATAAACTCATTAACGTAAATTTTAAAATATCGGGTATTTTTTAGGTACCCTTTTTATATTTCTGTTATTCTTGCATGGAATATGAACATAATTTTTCATGAACTATTTTCTGAGCAGTGACAAACTGTGAAAATAGCTGGTTCAGTGTTCTAAATACTTTTGAAATTTTTCAGTACATATACTTTAAGACTGAACAATTGAATCATTTTTCGATCGATAAATACTTTTTTTTTGGCTAGTGTTTTTTCTTAACTCTCTGAAATTGTTGTTTGTGTTTTTCTTTGCTTTTGTGCATTTCATAAGCAAGGAGAACTTTGTCAAGTTTAAGCTTTTTTAACTCAGCAAAAGAAACTGCAGTTATCCAGTTAAACCAGGTTTATTTGCAATTACGTGTTTTCATGTTTAGTTATATCGAATTTGCAACTATACCTCTCTTTGCCGTACCTTTTTTAAATTGAAAATCTATTATGCTGGGATAATACCATTAAAGAGTGCTTTTTGCATTTAATAGTCTGTTTTTTCTTGTAAACGGAAGTTTTCCCTGGAAAACTATTTTAAAGTGTAGATGCATCTAGAATGATGAATAATGAATAAGGTACATGCGTAATATTGCCTGTTTTGTCTTTTCATAAATGAACATTTCCTAAATTTTACGGATTATGCTACGGGTTCAAATTTGAAAATGGATGTTTATTAAGTTTCACTCGCGAAAAATACAACGTTCCGTCGATTAAGTTCAAATTGAATTTAAACAAAAAGAAGTCAGTAAATAAAGCAGCGCTGTTTATTAAGTCCGAAACTAAACCAGAGGAAAATTGAAATCTCACGGTCTTATATTAATTACCTTATTTATGAGAACCTTGGTCTTTTTTCCGTTTAAGAAGGTTGAATTTCCTGCTGAAAAACTGCTCAAAGAGTTTTGCGTTGTTATAGAGTCCTCCGTTACAATTTATGCGCTGCACGATGATTTTCTTTTTTGGGGTTATAAACCATGATCAATTAAACCGTCACTATTGAAGTGTTTTTATTTTACTGATTGATTTATTTTTTATTGAACACCAATCTGCACGAGACGCGATAAGTTACATTGATAACATAGTACGTAGAGATTAAAAAACCGAGTGGGGAATAAATTTTATAAATCATTTAGTCCTTTTAATCACTCGCATTCTCTGAGTGCAGGTCACAAGGCCAATGTCATTTTAGACGTCGAGGAGTATTATTGGATCGTAAAGAAAGTTGTACGTAAGGATTAGAGTTTGATTGAAAGTCAATGTGACATTTTTTATAGCTGAATCTTGCAACTTCTTTAATAAATAGAACATTTAGTTCGTTACGGTTGGTACATAGAACGGGGCGTTGACGACAGATCCAAGGATTGGTGATTGTAGGTCCTGGATTTTGCGGAGGTTGGCTTGTACCCCATAATTCTATACAGTATGTCTATGTTAGTTTCACTGTAGATTTGTACATGAGTGCCTTGTTATCGAGGAAGAGTTTAGGTTTGTTTTATAGTAGTCTTTTGTGTAGTTGATGAGCGATAGCGAGATCGGAGTTAGAGGGTAGAATGACAGGGTCATCAGCGTATATTAGGATATTGGTGTCGGGATGGAAAGGAATATTAGCAGTATATACTGAGTACAGTAACGGGCCAAGGACGCAATCGAGGGACACCCTCATCCGTCATGTACAAGGAGAGTCAGAGGATACAACCCACACTATACCTGTCGGCCCATAAGGAAGGGTGTACAGGGGAGGGTACTTTTGACCTCCCCGACACTGGTGCACGACTTTATCGAAAGCCAAACAACCAGGAAAACCCCTTGCCGCATTCCTTTAAGGGAACATGCGGTGATATCTACAAAACTTTGACACAGTTGGGTAATGGATTGGTGACGCCGAAATCCAAAGTGATGGCCGGGGATTATATTAAAGAATTTCAATTTAATAGTCAAACGAGTTTTTCAAGGAGTTTACCAAGGCATTGGCAGTAAACTGATGGAACGGTAGGAATTCGGAAGGTGGTGTCGTCAGTTGAATTTAGGAAAAGGGGGAATCATGGAAAGCTTCCATGAGGTCGGGAATTGAGTGGTTCAGAGAGTCGCTCTTTAAAGGGTGGTTGGAAAAACTGGTTTTTTGGGGAGTTTACTAATGATTGAAGAGATAATGACGTGGAATCCAGATGCTTTCTGTATATTTGACGTGAGAAAGGGTAAAAGGATAGGGGGGACAGGTAGAGGGAACAGAATATGGGGATCTCAAGAGAGAAGTTGGGAGTCGGCCATGACGGATAATTACTGAAGGCAGGTAGCAGGCGAACAGGGAAACTTTATCTTCATTGGATGATACTCATAATCCGTCAAAGCAACAGAATGCAGAAGAAACAAATTTGTAGTACAAGACCTTTTTCTTCGCATATAATTATCGTCACAGTCAGTGATTATATAATGATATGGTACTGAAAGTGTTCATCCTTAAGTTGTTTGAGTTCGGTTTCTAGTGAGTCGGTTAAGGGTCCTGTTATCGAGAGGGATATCGGGTCCGCTGCCATATGCGCACTATTTCTCTATTATAAGTGTTCTGATGTGAAACGGTACGTTAGCAGTGTGTCTTTTGTGGTGTTCGTGTGATAATTTCCATTTCGGAGGTTTGTATGTAAGTTGTGAAAAGACATACAGTGTTGTCTATGTCTCCGAGTATCTTTAGGCACCCAAATACACGGGATTTGGTTAAAGCAAACTGAAATGTTAAAAAAGGAGGTGTATTATGGTTGTGAGATGGTTTTATTACAAGGACTGTGCACAGCTGCGATGGTGAAGTTGAAGTGATTTGTGCCTAGGATTGGAAGAAACCTGGGGATATGAGTGGCAGAGAAGTATGGGAAAGATGGGAAAGCCTTCTTAAGTATGAAGTCAATTTCTTGAATATAATTTAAAAAATCCTTCTTGAGGAGAAAGAATTAAAAAATTTCCAAATTAGCCGAGGAGAACTTCAGAATTTGGTCCAAAGCCCGCGTATGGGTCCGGCATGCAGAGAAAGGTTGTTCGATATGTCCTACCTAATTGAGGATTCAATTCCTTCAATTCAACCAATATGATAATTGTGATAGAGCAGTTGACTTGACTGGGTCTGCAGTTCCGATTCTTGGAGGAAACGGGGTTGTTTTATTTTATATATTACTACTTAATACTTACTTACTACTTATATTAATACTTTATTATCTCTATCGTGGGTTAAGAGTGAATGTATTTATTGGCGTGAATATATACGCGGAGTATTAACTACCCCATCGACACTCAATTAGGCTAGTTATTTAATAGGTGTAAATAGTGAAGGAATAATGTACAGTACTCCACTCCACTACCCTAACTAACTGAGCGAATTTTATGTACATGGATGCTGGACGGACAAGTCCGAGGTATGGCCCCGTCTGCCTACACCTAGGGTGGGTGATTCTCGAGGCTTGCCGATAATTTATTGTAAATTACAAAAACTGCGAAAAGCGCCTCAACCGTTTCATTTTCGACTCGTTCTAATTTTACAAGAAATTATTGGGTTCGTCTAGACAGTGAAAATACGATTTATGCTAGAGGAAAGATTGAAAACTTGTTTATTTCTATTTTCGTAATGAAAAAATGAATGAATGAGAAAGCTACTTTATTAGATAAACTAGAAAAAAAATTGCACATGACTGAAAAGCACATAACGGCAATGGTTATCAACCGTCTCTAATTTTTAATAAACAAATAAAACAGGACTAAAAATTTGTTCTCAAGGAATAAACAAAAGAAAAAACGCTATATAAGTAAAATAAAATAACAACATATGTATGTTTACATTCACTTATGCACATATAAATAACCAGGGTGTCTCTTATAAATATGTAATAAACATTTAATAATTGAAATAAAAAAACTAGTTCTTCCCTGTAGTTCCAGGCTTCTATCGCAAACTTTACTAAATTTAAGTCCTCGGGGTTATTTAATAAAGAGATTAGGTGTTCTCTTCTCAACTTATTTTTATAATAATTCTTTGGATTTCCTAAAAAAATACTCATCTCTGTAAACACCGTGATTGATCAATATTATGATTGAATGATCACAAAATATTTTTTTAATTTACTCTTTTTATTATATATTACATATATTGTTCTATGTTGATAAGACCGTACAGGAATTTCCATTGAGATCAGACTTCTGAGAAATCGTCCAAAGCTTGCGATAAGTATAGACTAAAAATCTTAGGTTGTTACACCCTGATAAACGATCAGTAATTTGTTAATTTAATTACGGTCTGAGAATTATTGTTACTAATGGTTTCTTCCTTGGTCTGTCGGGTTCTTGAAAAACGGCATTACTACATGCAGGACCGTTGGACCAAGGCTTTCCTACGAATCACACGTAAATTGTGTATGATCGTGACGTCTTGCGGTCTGTCCATGCTCGCTTTACTTTGCCACGTACTTCTTATTACGCGATCAATACAAACTTTGTGGGGCCTGTCATTGGGCACCAGCTAAAGTTCAGTGTATAGAGGAGGTTTTATATTAAAACTATTACCTACTGATAATAAACGAAATTTGCGTTTTACTAAAGATTACATTAAAAAATTAGAATAAAAACTGCTTTTTTAAAATATTAAATTAGTAACACTTTAAATACATATGCAACAAATAAAAATGTGTGGTGATTAGTGACCGTTAATCGATATTTATTTAGAAATCGTGAGATGCGGTCTGGTGTGATGTAGGTTTCAGAAAAACATTTACTTTATCGTGCCAACGTTTCGATCTTTATTGAGATCGTCTTCAGGGCATTGTGTTGTCTGCATTTCAGCAAAAAAGTTCTCTGATTGATAGCCGATGCGAGGATATGGACACGAAGCTAAAAGTATACTGAAGGACATCGCCAACAATTAGAAGAAACTCGCATCAGCTATCAATCAGAGAACTTTTTTGCTGAAATGCAGACAACACAAGTCCCTGAAGACGATCTCAATAAAGATCGAAACGTTGGCACGATAAATAAAATGTTTTTCTGAAACCTACATCACACCAGACCGCATCTCACGATTTCTAAATAAATACAAATAAAAATGTTGAAACAGAAATTTTTACTGTTTCAACGTGCATAAATTGGCCTAAGGGCGACAGATAGGGTATTTGAATTATTGGGGTTATTGAGGATCTGTAATAAAACTGTCTTTTTCAGTTTAAAAATGCCACAGAAAATAGTCCTATTTAGTTTGTTTGTCTTCATACTTAATTTAAATTAATTTATTTTGTAATTGACCGATTATCGATTTGTTCTTAATTTATATTCAAATTTCAAATTTTATTTATTATAGTAAAGTACAAAACTTTTTGTGCGAGTATTTTTGTTTTGCTGAAGTGACAAAACAAAATAACAACAAAATTTATATACCCTATGTCCAATCGAGTAAGAAAAAAAACAATTTACGTCAAGTGATTTAGTTGAAAAGGGAAAACGAAGTCACATAATTTTTGAAGAGTCATACATTATTGGTACTTAATTGGCAGAATTAATGATGGGATTTGAAAGCGGCTTAAGATTGTTAATGCTGTATTTCAATCCGAGGAAAGTTTTGCATCCAGATAAATAACGACCATCTTTGTCCGAGACCATGTGTCTTTCTTTTTTTCGGGTCGAGGAAGCGGTACAAGTCACCAGTTTTATCTTATGACCTGAGTATGCATGCGATTTTCTGAGAAAAGGTTATTGAAATATATAAAGAAACAAGTTTTAAATTAAAGCAAAAAAAAGATCAAACCTTCGGTCTGCCCTCCTTTTGTGGCGTACCATCGCGTCGTGGATTATCGGCGTGGTTCCGTCCCGTCTGGAACAAAATCCCGGACGCGGGAAATACAGAATTCGGCGGGGTCGTTCATCCCGGTAAGGTTAACCGGGCATTGTCGGAGTGCGTTGAAATAGAAACGGTTTGGGATATCCCAAATGACCATATACGATT